GTTAAGCATCTGCCTTCAGCTCAGGTCATGATCCCAGGGTCCTGGGATCGAGTCCCGCATCGGGCTCCCTGCTCAGCGGGGAGTCTGCTTCTCCCTCTGCCTCTGCCCTCCCCCCCGTTCATGCACGAGCACTCTCTCAAATACATAAAGAAAGAAAGAAAGGAACTATCTCATTCTTGTCCATCTGGAGGAGAAATATCTTGTTAGTGTTGCCTGCCATCATGCCAGAGCTGCAGCAAATACCTCTAAGCCAGCTGGAAGCTTGTCCGCGGGGGGGTGGGGGGGGGCCAGAGGCTGGTGTGAGGGGCAGGGGTGGAGGTCCAGCTTGCTCCGTGGTGAGACCATGACATCACGTCTCATCCTGACCACTTTCCCCTCCTAACTGCTGCACTCCCAAAAGGAACAGAAAGAGGAGTAAGTAAGAAGAAAGCAGAAACTAGCAAGAAAGTATCATCATAAGTTGAGCCCACCCACTCGGTAGTCAAGAGTCGGAGAACATCAGTGAGATAACTTCATGTCATGTCATTTCTCTTTCTTTCTTTCTCTCTCTCCCTTTTCCTTCCTTCCTTCCTTCCTTCCTTCCTTTTCTTTTTTAGCAGGTTCCATGTCCAGTGTGGGGCCCAGTGTTGGGCTTGAACTCATGACCAAGAGCTGAGCTAGGATCAAGAGTTGGATGCTTAACCAACTGAGCCACCCAGGCACCCCCCTCCTAAATTTACAAAGTCTTGAAGCCTCTAGCTACTCCAAGAACTCACAGATTGTTCTAAATACACCAGCAGTTCTCTCCATGAGAACCCCTGTATTTCACAACGGCCTTCATGCCAACACCAACAAGCACTGTGGCCTCAAAGTATGGAATCAGTGGCTCACCATGGCAGCCTCCATGTTTATCTTCCATGTCAATCCACTTGACAGCCCTGAGGTTACCGGTCCATGATGCGTTTGGCATGGAGCCAGGGACACCTGCAATGTTGATAAAGAAGAAAAGCAGAAATGAGAACCAAGAAAGAAGGGTGTCATTTCATCAATGAAGCCTCCAAGTTATGCTTATGTTTTTGGTAGATTATCTTTCATGTTAGATTTTCCATCGTCGGTGTGCAAAACCTCAAAGCTTACGGTGTGAATAGTTGGTGGTTATGAACCCTGCCTTGCCACCATTAAAAAAATATGTATGCATAATTTTTTTGGTCATAATGTGTGCCCAAGCCTGCAAAATAGAGTTTAAGAGATACCACAGCATGAAATCATAATGCAGATGGAAAAGTTGGGGGATTTGAGGTTATCTCTCAATGGCCTTCAACTGAATTTACTTTCAATCCTAACATTACAGCTTTTTAAGACTTCAGATGACTTGTAACTTAAAATGAAGCTCAGAAAACCAGCTACTCTATGTGCTAAGCACTAATAAGTGAGAGCCCTTTATATGAAGTTGCAATATTCAGCATACAGAAGGGAAATATCTTGTTCACTACTTATAAGCTCAAACAAATCCCTTAACACTCTACCCTTTTTTAAATTATTTTTTATTTTTTACAAGCAATCTCTATACCCAACATGGGGCTCGAACTTATGATGCCAAGATCAAGAGTCCCACACTCCATTGACTGAGCCAGCCAGGCCCCCCTGACACGCTATCCTTTTTGTTAAAGTGCTTCTTGAGCATTTGGTGTTGCCAAGCATTGTGCTGGGCCCTGGGGAGAGAGAGAGAAACAAGATGATTCTCCAACACCCAGTGAGGATAAACTGTTGACCCCAAGCAGTAAGTTTGATCTTTGCCTTTCTCGGAGGAAGATTGGCGCGCACTGACCTACCCATCTTCTCTATTTCTTTCAGCTGTTCTTTGGCCCAAAGTTTAGTGGCTGATCCATTAACTAATTAGTTATCTAATTCACCTTTGAAATGTAAAGAGCCTTTAAAAAGGGGAGGAGGGCTTTAGGTCGCCACTAAGCTAGGGCTTTTCCACCTTGGCATTACTGACACTTTATTTATTTTTGCATATTTCAAATATTTATTTATATACATTTATATTTTTATTTTATTTTAAACTTATTTTATTTTATTTACATTCAATTAATTAACGTATAGGGCATTCTTGACACTTTAGACTGGATAATCCCTTGTGGTAGGGCTGGTCCTATCCTGTTGTTGATATTTAGCAGCATGCCTGGACTCCACCTGCCAGATGCCAGTAGTATATAGCCCTCAGCTGTGATAATCAAAAACATCTTCAGGTGTGGCCAAATGTCCCCAGGAGGGAGAGTGGTTGGGCAAAACTGCCCCATTTGAGAAACACTGTGCTAAACTATTTTTTTTAAGGTTTATTTTAAGATTTTATTTATTTATTTATTTGAGAGAGAGAGAGAGAGAGAAGAAACAGCATGAGAGAGGAGAGGGTCAGAGGGAGAAGCAGGCTCCCCACTCGATCCCAGGACTCCGGGATCATGACCTGCACCGAAGGCAGTCACTTAACCAACTGAGCCACCCAGGCGCCCCTAAGATTTATTTATTTTAGTGAGAGAGAACGAGAGAAAGAGAGAGAGAGCATGGGCGGGAAGGGGAGAGGGAGAGGGAGAGAGAATCTCAAGCAGATTCCCTGCTGACATGGAGCACAATGTGGGGATTGATCCCAGGACCCTGAGATCATGACCTGAGCCAAAATCAAGAGTCAGGCATTCAACCAACCCGAGCCACCCAGACACCCCTGTGCTAAACCATTTCAAATAACCCTCTCCATCTCAATAAATTTTGGATAAGTCAGAGATTAAAGGGTCCATTTAATCCTATAGAGTAGAGTAGTTTTACGCCAAGATTTCCATTACTGGAAAGTAGGTATATGGGAATCAAAGGTAAATGCAACAAAAGAACTATTTTGTTTATAAGAGCTCCAACAATTTTCACCAATGAGCAATACAATCTGAACATAATTTTGATGTAATGGCACCACGCTCATGACATCTGTACCCAGACTGTAATAGTCCTTTCTCAAAAGATCCAGTAGGCAGAATAACGCCCCTCCCAATGACATATATCCAAAGAAGTCTGGATTCTAATCACTGGAACCTGAAATTATGTTACAGGGCAAAATGGACTTCAGTTTGCTAATCAGCTAACCTTAAAATAGGGAAATTATCCTTAATTATCCAGGCCGGACCAATGCAATCACAAGGGTCTTTAACAGTGGAAGAGGGAGGTGATGAGCTGGTCTTTTTTTTTTTTTTTTTTTTTACCATTTGAAGGTAGAGGAAGGGGCTAAGGAACATGGGTGGCCATTAGAAAAGGCCCAGACCCTACAGAAAGGAACAGAGCCCAGCCAATGCTTTGGTTTTAGTCTGGTGAGACCCATGTCAGACTTCTGTCCTACAGAATTGTAAGATAATACATTCATGTTGTTTAAGCTGCTAAGTCTGTGGTAGTTACAATGGCAAATAAAAACTAATATACATACTAATGAGAAAAAAAATTACCTAGGATGATAGATATTTTTTAATAAGAAAAAAAAACTGGACAAGACCAATACTTTTCAAAAATTTTAACTGGATTAGGCACATAAACATGTTTCCTCTTTAAGAACATTAATAAAAATGTGCATTTTCAGAAGAAAAAAGCTCTGTTCTTTTTCCCTGATGTCACATGACAATTATATGATGATCTAAATCAAGAATTGTACCAAGGTCTCCCAACTAAAATTAAATTTTGCACAGCGTTTCCTGTAAATGGCATGAATTCTTACCCCTAAGGGCTTGCTATAAGACAGATTCTTTTTCTCTTCTTGCTGCCAAACTTGAAAAGTTTGCTTATAAATATTGAGTAGTCCCCAAGAAAAATACCATTTATTAAGCGATATTTCTTCCTATTGCTTTGATTTGCATTTATTACTTTAAAAATTACTTTAGCGCTTGCTTTCCCAAGAGAAGCTTCTTTATTTTGTTCTTAGTACACATTTTAAAAGAATTTAGAATAAAACTTGCCTTGGTTAAGTTGGGGGTGGGGGGGAGGGCACTCCAGAAAACAAAGAGATAATTTGGTATATTTACTTGTGTCTACAAGATTAGCTGACATGGATGTAATTTTTACAAGTCTATTTTGATGAAAAGCTACAGCAGAAGAGTGTGAAGAACATATTGCCCTAACGAAATGTCCCTACCCTCCTTTACATGAGTACATTTTTTAAAGGACAAGATATTTTTTTTCTCTTTCATTCTGCACCAGAATCGGCATGTTCACAAGATCCCCAGAGCATCCCGGCACGTGATCAAGTCTGAGAAGCTCTGGGCTGTAACCAGCATTGCAAAGAGGACATAGCTTCTGTCTCCTCTCTCCTTGAAGTCCCTCCCCTCGGCCTTCATCAGGTTTCAGGTTACCTTTTCTTTCTCCTTTCCCTACATTTCGCCCTGATGAGGAAATCTGGTACTATGTACCTTCCATCCTTTGGTTAATTTTACAAACCTGTCCGCACAGCAGGGAATACAGGCATTTGAATAGACCTCTCAAATCACCTTCTTGAAGACCATCAGCCCACCTGGCATGGCGAAAAGCCGTGTTGAGCAGAAGACCGGTCCTCAGGGTGCCTTGAACTCACAGCACTGGGCCCACGGGGGATTCCCAGTCAATGTTAATGGAGTGAATGGGTGTGGCGTGCAAGGGTTGCCCAGCAACTCAGTCTTCAGGGGTGATGGTAGGACCACTTAGATTGTGTGTGGCTAAGACAGGCCTGCTTGCCACCTTGGTTTCCCAACAGGTCACTGTACTTGCAGGTGTAATCATGCTCTACCTCTCAGTATGAAAAGTATTTATTCTCCTCTCTTAGCCAAGGCCAACCTGTTTCAGTTTGCCCTACAGCAATTGCTTAAGCGGCCATCAATCACCTATTTGCCGCATCGGTCCTGCCTGGTACAGCTAGCTTTGGGAGGTGTTAAAACCCTCAACAAGACTTCTGGAGACAGCTCAAATATCAACTCAATGTGAATAATTTGCAGGCATTGCTTGATTATTATTGTGAGGGGATAATGGCAAGCAAGAGATTGAATGGTCTAAATGTACCGTGTGCCCACTATGCAGTAATTTAATGTGGCTTGGGTTAAAACACACGTGGAGACCCCAAAGCTACTGATCCCATCCCAACCCGGATGCCCCTTCTACTTCCTAAAAGTATCTACTAAGCATAATTTTCTCCCAGAGATTGACCTGCGGCAGACGCCACCCTCACCCCACCTCACCCCCATCCCCCCGTGGAACACACTGGCCTTTCCCCTGGGATTGGGGAACTTAGTTCTTACCCTAGCTTTGTCACTAACCAGCTGTGTATCCTGGAACCATCATTTAAGACCACACAGACTCACCTTTCAAATAAGTGTAGAACAGATCAGTGATTTCTCAACCTTTTAGACTGCAATCCACAGAAAAACAATTTACGCCATTGTAGGAGCGCACACATACATAAAGCCAACAAAAGTTTTACAAACGCCTTAGGCTTATTACGTATGATGCACTTGTTTATTTTGTGTTATTTTCTCATATTAAAAATACTGGTCAAAGCCTACTAAAGTGATTTCTGGATCCACTCGTGGGAAAGAGTGCTCTTTTAAAAATACTGGACTGGATGACTGTGTTTTTTTTTATTGCTGTTATGATTATGATTATTCTTACTTGTCAGGATTCTAGGAGGGTAGTTATGAGGTATATGGATAAAGTCTACCCTCAATTCACAGTGTCCTAGGAAGGGTCTCTTTTGCATTATTTCTAGGATGGGGCAAAAAGAAGACACTAATATTACTGGAGAAACTATTTTAAACTATAAACTCCAATTCTCTCATTTGCTCTTCATAGACTTATTTAAACAAAAGATTTGAGATAAGTTTACAGAGTAACCAAGAATGTTTTTCTTGGAGCTTAGCCATTATTAGTCAAATAACTGCATTTGTTGAATTAATGAATACGGTTCTTTGAAATGCAAGCTTTATTTA